AGCAAGACTTCACCACACAATATTGGAATTGATGTTTGATGGCATACATGCTTAATGTATGTTTCAGCTCCATCTTGTCTCTAAACATTTGCCCCGGCTCTATGATATGACGTTCTCTGTGATTTGGTTTAATGCTGGGATGCTTTTCTCCCCCATTTTCTGCATTTGTTCTTCAATGTGAGTAGCCAGTGTAGTTGAAGATTGTGCAGCATAATTAATCATGCGAGTAGACTGGTCGTCTGCATTGCAATAGGTTTTGAGTGGCATGATTTCCATTGATTGAACGTTGCAAGAGTAGTTTAATGGTGCATCATCGGTGTCTGCGTCTGTAAGGCTAAGTTGGTCGTTAAGTTTATCTAAGGTTGTGCAAATCGGGAATTTGGTGTAGTTTGGCTCTCGTTTTTTTAACTCCTTGTAAAATTGAAGACTTCTATCATCGGTTATGCTGATTAGGAGGTATTCTTCATGCACCTGATATTACATTGACAGACAATCCATTGGTGATGTTGCATTCAATGTTTCCCTGAGGATTCCTTTTAGTTGCTCGAAGTTGCTTTCTTCTTCTAGAACAATTCCGCAAACTTTGTACTTTACGTATTTCTTCTCATTTTCCCACTCTCCATTGTAGTGTACAAAAGTAAGAGAAGAATTCATTCTTATCTGCAAAATTCAAAGTTGTATGAATATGTCTTTTATTATGTATAATTAATCAAAATCAATTAATAATATTACCTAACAGACACAATAAATATTTATTCAACATAATATGAATATTACTGTAGTTGCTTACCGTATGAAGTTTGAAGAATTAAGGAGATGTATGTCGTTCTTTGCTCTTGATATATCTGGTCTTCTTTCTTCTTTGATGATTTTTGGGGACGGTTCCTTTTTTTTTTTTTGAAGNAATTATTTTTTTTAATAATAATAATAATAATTATATATTATAATAATAATTATTAGTAATAATAATAATTATTAGTAATAATAATAATTATTATAATAACAATTATAAATTTATTATTTATAAATTGGTTAGTTTATTCTTGCTTTCAGTTAACTGCATTTGATTTTCAGGCATTTAAGTGAATTAATGGATAGCCATGGAAACCCATCACACCTATTGCAGTTTCGTGATTTTCTTGTCTTTAAGTGGCAGTTACGTATTTTTCCCTGTTTGTAATGGTTACAAAACATATTTGAGAAATTTACCCCATGCACGATTACCTTAAATTATATTTTCACATTTACGGTGTATATATTATATTTTTTTTTTTGGAAAATAAAATTACATTGAAACAACTAAGAACTTAATACATCCTTGAAGAAAGAGGAGAATATAATGGGGAGAGAATCCTTCCAAAAGCAAGAAGATAAAGACATTGTCGCATAATTTGTGACCGCGTGTCGCAACACGGCAAATTTAAATTTATAATTTTTCCTTAACAAACCTCTACTAACTAGTAGTAGCGGTGAGTAAGGGTCGATCCCACGAGGAGCAGGAATTAAATTGTGACAATCTCGTATTAATTGAATTAAACTAGGAAAGCAATAAAAGGTGGGGGGGAAGTGGTTTTATAAAAATAAAAATAAAAATAAGAAAATAAAATAAAAATCTAATAAAATAAGAGAAGTCCAGTTTTCGGTTCAGTTATCACCCAATCTAAATCTACCGTTAATTAATTTCGACGCTTTCTCTAGAATGCTAATGAATTACCGACCCTAGCTAACAACAAGCTCTGTTAACCGAATTTTCCCTAACCGAATATTTAATCGAAATAAGCTCTTCGACTAAACCTAACTAATGGACAACCTAGAATAAGCTCTCTAGATTTAGTTCACTAGCAGCATTAATTTCTAAGAAAATAGATCAGTCTAAGCAATGGACGCAAAAGCTCGGACCATTTAACTTATGCTCATGCTACCCTAGAGATACACGACCCCTAGTTTACTACTAACGAAACAAGACAATAACAATTACGGATTAAAGTCTCGAATCTAGCAATTAAACTATGAATATTTAACGTAGTTGGCCAGACTAAATCAAACACCATAATTCATAAACATTATACACAGATAACATGAATCAACTCATCAACAAAAATAAATCCGGCGTCTCGATTAATGAACGATAAAAATAAATCCTTCAATCCATAGACAAATCAAAGTTAGGGTTCAAACATCCCCTCAAACTGGATAAAAATACTAGCCTAACATATTAATAAAAATAAAAGATAGATAAAAGAGAGAACAAAATCTCCCTCGTGCGAGTGCGGCTTCCCTCCGCGTGTGTTATTTCTCTCCTCGAGTCCGTGCGTATTCTCCTCCAAATAATGCGTGAGTGCATAAATACTCCCAGCCAAAAATATGATGTTGCGTTTGTGTTTAGGCCTCTTGGAAAAATAATTCCCCTCCAACAATTCCACTTTTCCTAAATAAATCCTAATGGAGTTTGACTTTTCAACTAATTAAAAAGTGATTGGTCAAAATGGTTTGTCCATTCACGCAAATCACAAGATATATGCTCCAATTCTTTGTTTCTTTCTATGTGCTGCAAATTGCGAATTGGGCCTTAATTCCGGTATTCGGACATCTCGATACTTAACCGCGTAAACTTCCGTCCAATATTGTGTCGTCCATGAAAACACTCTAATATTCTGAAAATAAACATAAAAATATCAATGTATATGAATCCATCCAAATAATAAATAAGTCAAAAAATATAAACTTACAAATTAATTAAGTGTATAAAAATACACTATTAAATATATAAAACATGCACATTTTTCGACCTATCAATTTGCTATTTTATGAGCAACTTGATTCTTCTTCCGGGGAATGTGTCCACACGTACTGCACTTCAGGATAGACAGGAGCTCTCTTATATCAGAAAATACTTTCAAGAGAGGATCGCAATCTTCCATCTGAATGAGCCCTCCAACGACACCTAAAGAATCCGTCAAAACCCCCTGAAGTTCCAAGTCTGAATCTCGGGCACATCGTAATCCATATCAAATGGCCAAAGCTTCCGCTACTAAAGGAGAAAATGAGTCCTTGATACACGTAGTAAAAGCGGCCTGACAAACGCCATCCGAATCCTGAATCCAACCCCCAAGACCAATATATGAATCTCGAACTGCTGCATCACACAAAAGAGTCCAACCATTTCTACACGTTCCATTTCTTCGCCAACAATAAATCAAGTCGCGACATGGTTTCAACCCATTATCAAGCAAGCCTGATTGCGCGTAGTCAAACTCCGTCAACCAAGATAGCCCAAATTCCCAAGCTCCCTCCGGCTTCGTTTCTTTTAATTTTTGACGAAGGCGATTGCGTTCGTGCCAAACAAGCCACATTCCAACCGCAAATTTCCTGAAATCCATATCTCGGCCTTCCGAAAGAATATCTAGGAAAAAAGAAATAAAATCCCGTCTTTGGAGATGGGAGATAAACCCCCACCAACCCGCATACTTCCACAATTCCTTAGCCCAGACACAATCAAAAAATAAATGATAATTTGTTTCTTTAGAACCACAACGCCAACACCTATTATCAAGAACAATGTGTCGCCGAGCTAAGTTTTCAGAAGATGGAAAAGCAAAGAGAGATACCTTCCAGAGGAAAATTTTAATTTTTGGAGGAAGCCGAAAACTTATATATTATATTTTTAGTTTTACGTTTATCTTTTAGTTGTAAGCTAAACAAACACAATTATTTTACGAGATTTCATTTACTAAATTAATAAAGTAAGTTGCATAGATTAAGGTACCGAATTCAATGGGATATCGTGTTGATCCCAATTAATAAATTACGTCTCTCTTTCTTCTACAAACAATCCTCCTCTATATCATTTTATTCAAAGTGTAAAAAAAGTTTGAATAAATCCTTGCTCTGGTATGTTCTCTTTTTGAAGAAAATATCAATGGCGAAAAGGACGGACGAATCATTTGTGATAGAGTTGCCTTATGAATTGTCAAAATGATGCACGACGGACTCGTTTGAGATCTCTTTGCCGCAGGTGAACCAGAGTAGATCGAAAATTCACGTGATAATCACGAAAAAATAATTGTTATAATTAGGATGAATCACTTGGTTCAATTTCGGAGAAGTTGCAGTATGAAGACATGTTATATGATCACAGAAAATTATTATATATATACACATTAACATTCTTAAAAGTACTATTCCTACAACATTAACCATTACCAACAGTCCCGAAAAGACATTGTTAATAACCACTCACAACAGTTACCCAAACGTATACAAAACATATTATTAGATGTACAACTTATATACGTTATAATTATACTAGCTTTTTTTTTTCATATATATTATACGCATGATACAATTATACTAAAAATATACATGAAGTAAACAACCATAAAGGCGATTGGGAATAGAAAAAAAAATTGGTAGAGCAAAAATTCGGTTAATTGACATTTTGAATTTGAAAAAAAATTTCGTAGAACCATCAAATATATGTTTAGATATACTGTATATATACATTAGATAAACATGATCTGACAATTCTCTATTATTAACCGTATAGTTATACATAAGATAAACAACATATAAACAATTTGAATTCGGTAGAAAAGAGTTATGATTCCGATTGGGAATAGAAAAAAATTCGGTAGAGCAAAAATTCGGTAATTGACATTTTGAATTCGAAAAAAAAAAATCGTCCAACCACCAAATATATGTTTAGATATACTGTATATATACATTAAATAAACATGATCTGACAATTCTCTATTATTAATCGTATAGTTATACATAAGATAAACAACATATAAATAATTATGAAAAGGGATTAAACATAATGTTAATTAAACATAAAGAGTACTATCAAATATTACAAAGATTTGTAAACACAGCAGGGAACTCGTCGAGTGATAACCAAACTCGACCACGAACTCGCTGGACAACTCGTAATCAAAATAGCAGTCACTGGCACTCGTGGTAGCAGGAGGAGAAGAGGATACTACTCCAGATCGACGAAGATGTTCCAGCAAGGTGGCCGGGCAGGCGTGACCAGCAGCAACATCATCCCGCGAAGCCCGGTCCCAGCCTGCGAGGCCCAGCATCAGCCCGCGAGCTCGTCAGGCGTCCTCCAGCCAACCAGCGATGCACAGGCCTAATATCCTGCGGCCCGTTTCATCCAGCGTGGCCCAAAACACCTTCCAGGCGAGAAGATTACGTATCTGAAAGAAAAAATCGATGATTTTGAGGGTGTGGAGACCGATTTAAAGGCAAGCGTCAAGGATATGAGGAGAGTGCTCGACAAGAGGGACGAGATGTTGAATTTCATGAGCAAAGGCGGTTGTGAAGCGACGGCGACGGCAACATCAGTGGTGGGGAAAGTTATGGTGGCGTGGAATTGAGGTACGGCTAGATGGGGGGTTTTTGGAGGAGGTGTGCCTGATAAGATTTTTTTTGATCCGTTTTGATTCCCCGTTAACTAGCCTAATTAAAGAGGAGAAGTTATTTGAAAAGATACAAACATCCGTAATTTTGAAAATACTTATCCTCCAAAATCCTTAATTAATAAAATTTCTCACCACTTGTATATATGAAAATAAGTCTTATATATGGTGTAAGTATGTAAATTTCCCAAACATATTTTCCAAATGGGCAATGCTACATTGTCAACCTAATGTACAACTAGGTTGACAACACAAGTGGAAACATCCATTTGTGCATTTTTTTATTTTTATTTTTTTTAATATTTTCACTTATTTTGTCAACCTAGTTGTACACTAGGTTGGCAACGTATCATTTTCCTTTCCAAATACGAAACGATTACACCTTTGATAGGAATATTCCCATAAAATATATATCTCCTTCTCTTGTCTCTTCACTTGAGCTACTTGATATGGGCTTCTTATCATGGACCTATCTTACAAATAAATAATACTTCCCATAAAATATATATCTCCTTCTCTTGTCTCTTCACTTGAGCTACTTGATATGGGCTTCTTATCATGGATCTATCTTACAAATAAATAATACGTACTAATTAAAGAAAAACAAACACGTTAAATTGTATGAATTTTATAAAATAATGTCAATATAATAAAATTAAATACCGTAACAATATCTAGGCTCAATACAAGTTCTTATTATTGAGTTGAAATTTATTAAAGAAAACATAAACATTCAACAAAATTCAGGTCCTAAGAGATTGAATAAATGGTTCATATGTTAGAAAATTAATGAGTTGAGTAATGAACATTTAACAATAACTGAAACAACAATATTCAGAATTAAACTGAGTATTTATTTACATATATGCCACCGTTATGAATAAATATTTATTCATGTCAATCAATAAATATTTACGTATGCTTTCAATATAGTGTTCTTCGATCATTTTCTTTACTGGTATTTTTCTTTTCGCTAAATTTTGGTTAGTTTGTGCTTCAGTTGATTCGTATCTCCAACAAATATGTTTGCTGATGTATTTAACTTTCTAATTTGTGAAAAATTTGTTCATGATTGCACGTCGGCTGACCAGGATACTCAATTATCGAACAAGTAGGCAATGTTGAAAGAGCTAAGGCTTATTTTGATCAAGTTGTTAAAGCCGACCCCAGTGACTGATGAGAAAGTGTTTTCTTCGTCTTGGTTTCCTCGACAGACATGAACACTTCAAATCTGGTGTTAGTTTCTTAAGGATAAACATTCTGCATTTCTTTGTGACTCCGGTTTGTAAATCTAACTTGTAAAAGAATTATGTAGGGAATATATGCATTCACTGAAAAGAGTAAGAAGGGGTTGTAACTTGTAAGCTTCTGGTTAAGAACGTCATTTCCCGATGCGAGAGAATGTTCTCTTGGTAATCATCTGATTTCTGGCTAACAACCATTTTATGTAGCTTCTTTCCTGCTGCTGCACCAAGCACTGTTCTCTTTTAATGTGCTTTCAGATTGTGGTTTAATAATGAATCTTTTGTTCTCATGCAGAAATTTGTTTTATGTCCTATGATTTGGTAAGCATCTTAAAACCTTTTTCTCTCCACTATACTCGGCTTTAATATGTGCACTTCACTGTCGAGAAATGCAGCAGTTCAGAATATATTAGATAAAAAATTGAAGAATCTCAACGTCAAGATATCATTAGATGGAGTTAACTCCAGGATGAATAATAATTGAGATACATTGTATTATGATTATTACTACCTTGTTGCTTTATACATTTTGCTTTGTAGTGAGATTTATTTTATTTCATTTTTTCGTAGTCAAGGTATGTTGTTAACCAAGTTACTGCTGGGGATTACGATTTTCCAACAATAGTACTGAAATTTCTAACTGATCTGCATGCTGCATTTCGCATGCTCAACCTCCAAAATGACTTTCTGCACAAGAAATTTGACGATAAGCCCGCCTTAGATCCATTTTTTCTACTATTTATTCGTGTTATATCTATTGGTTAATACCAATTTAGTTTGAACTAAAACTCATTTTTTTTTAATGTTGCAAGAAAGAAGTATGACTTTAGAAGAGTCGAGGAAGTTTATTATGACGTGAAAATAAGAGGATTGGCAGCGAAAGAGATCTCGGGTGGGGATCAAGGAGACGAACAACCATCATCATGAATTAAACGAGATCTTTTGTAGTCTTGCATGGCAATTTCGTAATATTTATTTCACGGGCCTTGCTGGCATCCAACATTAACATCTTTTAGCAACATTCTTTTGTGGAGGAACAACGTGGAATTCGACTGCTGTTGTTTTGAGATCCATCCATCTTTTACATAACTCAGGTCCGAAATCGTAACCAACGCCTATCGGCACTTTTCCGAGGAGTGGGTCAAGGCCCGTCCCGTACGGTATATAACCACGATATTTGCTCTGAACTTCAAGTATGCCATACATTACGTACCTGTATGTGTAACTCATTGTAAAATTTCATTGATTATCTAAAACTAGATACAGTTATTTATGCCATTACTTCAGTTTTATGCCGCCTCTTGCTCTCTACCTTTTTTCCCTATTTGTGGTATCAGCAGAATTAGGATGTACACGCTGTATGGTTGATAATGCCATTTTGAGTATCTGTCGTATTTCAAGACAATTGTTTTGGTAATTAAGAGCCAGATTTCATAGGCCAACTTCTATGTGTTGCATTTGGTTTTTTTGTTTCATAATTTGCAAGGGAATTGATATCCTCGAATCATGTCAAAGGACTCTCGAGGATGATTGTCCTATCAAATGAACTCTGTGAGCATGGGGAGAGGCTATTGTACAAGGTATTGACATTGGTAGCTTAAATAACTCATGAAAACTCTTGCTTCCTTTGCTTCCCTCCTGTCATAAAATACAAATTGCTGTCGTATATGTATTTGGATACATATAAGCTTTGATACAGTACTTAGTTTTATGAAATCACAAAATTATCAGTTCGTATCTAAACTAATGTTTCATCGTTGGCCAATCGGAGCCAAGCAATAAAGCTTTTGCCAAGGGCAGACGTAAGCGAACCAAGGTCTTCATGACTGAACCCAGACTGAATATTTACCTGAAAAGTAAAATCTGCTAATATCTCCAATCGTTTAGCTTGTGGCCACTTGAATTGACGAACAAATTGGTCATTGTGTATATGCCATTCTTTTTTATTATTTTTTATTTTTTGGGGTGTGTTTTTTGGGTGTACTTTAGATCTCATAGAATGGACTTGGATGGAATTTTGAGGGTGGGAATTTGGGTATTCTTGTTGATTATTTTTTGTTTTTTTGTTTTTTTTGGTTTTGTTTGCAATTTAGATATAATTAACAATTTTTAATTTTCGATGAAGAAGTTTTTGAAGGGCTGAGATGTGTTTTTTAGATTGTGATGTAAAAGATTAGATTAGCTTTAATGTTCATGAGTAGTGTTGTCATTTGAATTTATCTTATATTGTCATCTTTTATTGTTTTGTTACACAAATTTTTTTATTTTTCAACCTCTTTTAAGATTTGATTGTCCTGATTATGGACTCACAGTAAAAGACACTTTTTAAATCGAATTTGAGTCCGCCGTGCGTGCACGGCGTACCCCAATTAGTAAATATATATAGGACTAACTTTTTATGTAGCGGAAACGAAAACTTCCCCGTATCTTTTATCCGACGGCTATTAGAGTCGTCGGTATCCTCCACGCTCTAAAACCCGAGCCGCCTTGTAATGGTTTCGGCTCAACAAGAGAAAAACACTATATAAAGATAATTGTATATTTTCCTATTTTATTTCTTTGTCTCGTATTGTCCACTTTTCATGATGCACAAAGCATCAATTTATACTTGTCTTCATCTAACTCAATTAAATGAAGACTTTAACACACTTCTCATAACTCCATACTTGATGGAGATGAGATTGTAACACCACTACCATTAAGTGGATGTTACTAATTGATGCAACATAACGTCAATTAAAAACAATAGTTTGAAAATCTTAATTTGTGGCGAAGATGACGTGCCAAAGAATCAAACCAATTGTATATAGGGAATTATTCAATAATATATGATCTTTTCAGTTTAATTATATGTTTATATATCTATTCTTATGATCACGATCATTGCATTATTACATAATTTATATACAAAATTAACTTCTAAAAAACACATAAATAATAATTTTGTCGTGCATCACACGGGTGATTACTAATTTCTAATAAAAATTCCCATTACATTCAACTTCTGACTAACCTTTAGATGTAATTATGTGCTCTATATATAAATTCCTGTCTTTCTGCCAAAAAAAAAAAAAGTTCGAATCATCTCACCACTCCAGATTCAGACGGTCACAATGACGAATCTGCAGCTTTCATTCGTAGATTCTTTCGCACGCGCTGGGCACGTGTATAAGAAAAAGGCACTATCATGTCGTCAGCTATACCTAAAGAAATAACAAAAAAAATGATGAAAATTCTGTAACATGATTATGATTTATGACTCACTTTCCTTTCTTTCATTTCTTCTCCCTCCCTTCTCCCCTCTTTCTTTCTAAATATGTTTTAATATATAATTTTATTTGTTATCTCACTGCAATTTTCCCTGCGTACAGTGAATTTCGCCATCTCTGAATATCTTTTTTTTTGCCGTAGTGTTCAGCTAGGCAATTTGTCAAAATTTTCTGCTTCATTAATTTTAACCCAAAATATTTCAATTACCCGGCAGAGATGCCGGCCGCCGGCGATGAGTGTGGCTGTGCAGAGATAGCCAATCACTTTTCCGACGGTATTTCCTAGACCAAACTTAATTTTCCCACATCACCAAAACACTTGTCACCTCGAAAACTGCGAACCGAACCCTCACGCAGCTCGCACTCGCCACCTCGAAAAAAGCGTCTTTCTTCTTCTTCTTCTCATCAATGTCTAACGCAAACTCACCTCCGACCAACGCTTCCC